TWWTKGKKRAWTTTTTTTWTTTTTTACCGCCCCTAGYTAACATATTTTATATTTATGAATGATATTTTCTATGACGTTATAAATACTTATGTTGTACATATCATACATGTTTTTAAAAAATGTAGATAAACGWTAATATTTATATTAAACTTTAAAAATTTAATTTGATATAAATAATCATAACACCTGTCTAACCGAATTAWCGACCATATTCAATAGCTAGAGGTTTGACAAACCCTGCAAGTCCCTAAACGTTTATCTTTAAACTCACYACTATGAATTTATTTGACTATAAATCAATACGATGGGACGTATTTTGTTTCCAATTGTGATTTTGATTTGTATCATAAATTATAATTTTATAAACAAGGATATGAAAAAYACCATTATGTGAAGAACCCCCGCTCCCTCCCCTAAATTTGGGCCTGGTTTTCTCCTCTAGTCCAATATGTATACGGCACTGTTAAAACGTTATTTAAGTGTTTGACAATTTTGACTTTTTTGTTCGTGTAATAGGAAGAAGATTACGTGACGTGTCTGATCGACGAGAACTCTGCGTCATCGACGGTCGACGTACGTGCCAAAACGCCAACTACTTCGGATTCCGCAGACAAGTCGTTTGCGCCGACCAGCGTTCTCGTCAAGACTGCCACCGCCGCGGCCTCGTCGTCTTCGTTGTCGCCGTCGCCGTCGTCGTCCTCGTCGTCCACAGCCGCGGCCGCCGTCGTCATAGTGGACGACGAGCCAAAAGAATTGGTGGTCGTCAAGCAGGAACCGGTCAACGGTGTGGCCGCGACGGACGAATCGGCAACCGGCGGCTACCGTCAGCAACAGCACGAAGTTCCGGCCGCGGCGTCTGACGACCTGCTACACCAACAGCTCCCGCCGCCGACGCCGCAGCTGCAGATGCAGACCGCCGGCGGCAACAAGCGGACGGGCATGACCGCCAAATACTGCAAGGCGTGCGACATATCGTTCAACTATCTGTCCACGTTTATCGCGCACAAAAAGTACTACTGCCGGAACAGCACCGAGTACAAGTGCAATACAGAAAACGCCAAGACGGCGACCGTCACTTAAGTGACATGTAACGCGCTCCTGACCTATAAATCGTATGATTTATTGTACTACAATTTTATTATTATTATTATTATTATTATTATTATTATTATTATCATTATTATTATTATTATTATTATTATTATTATTATTATTATTATATTATTATTATTATTATTATTTTATCATTTTATTTGAACGTATATGCTTACGACTCGCCGACACGATTGGGATCCTATAAAATATTTTATAATATTGTTATATTACACAATATGATAATAATGTAACAACGAAGTTGATGAACAACCAGTTGCAAACTGTACCTATATAAACAGTTATCATGCTGCAAGAGGATGACTATTATTCTTCGTATACACCCTCACACATTGCAATTATATTAACTAATATTATTATTATKATTATTATTATTATTATTATTATTATCCATGTTTACTAAAAAATTTAAATGTTATAATATACCGTTTACATTTGTCATAATATGTTTATGTAATACGATATATTATGTTAGAATCGATCATGATTTAATATATAATTTTTTTTTTTTAATATAAATAATAAAACAATTTAAAGATGTATCATTTCCAAACGTTGTTTTCATATTATATTGTATCTGTTTTGTTTCTTTAATTACTATTATTTGCATTATTATTATTATTTTATTTCATCATTATTTTTATTATTTTTAGTTAATATTGTTCAGAGTAATCAACACCTATATTTCTAACATATATTATCATTATTACTATAAAATATTATATTATTATTATTATAATTCTAACGAGTTAAAGTAGTATTTGTGTTATAAGTGGAAAACTATATAAATATAAAAATATCCATCCTCGTATATATTA